CCTAGCCTAACCTAGCCTAGCCTAATCTAGCCTAGCTCAGCCTTGCTACCGCCTCAGCCGTCGCACCTGGCTGCGGTGGCGGCCGGCGCCGTAGCGGATCTTCTGGATGAAGTAGAAGACGAGCCAGGCGGAGGAGATGATCATGAGGACGATGAAGGAGACGGAGACGAAGACGAGCGATCCGCGGTTCAGGTTCCTGCTGGGACTACGGAAGCCCAGAGAGGCCAGAACTGTCAGGTTCCGGTCCAGGTGGGCCAGGATCTCCTTCCCGTACGTCTCTGTGATCATCACTGCCACGATGTCACCCGTACCTGCACACAAATCCGAACAAAACCCAACCCAGTTCTACTGATCGGAACCAGCCTACTGCACCAGCCTCTCCTTCTAAATCCCCCAGAACCAGGCAGGCGGTTCTGTGTGATCCGGTTTATTTTTGGTTCTGGACGCTGTGACCTTCCGGTCAGAAACGCCTCAGAGGTCAGAGAGAAATTCAACCGGGCCAGCGGCTAAATTTATTCTGATCAATCGCCAGGAAGGACACTCTGTAGGTTTCTGACCCGGTTCAGAAAAGGTTCTGATCCAGTCCAGATCTGGGCGGTCAGTGTTTTCGGCCCGGTTCTGACCTTCGTGGCCCATCTTGACGGTCTTGTCGGTGGAGTTGTTGTAGACCAGAACCGCCGTGGCGTTGTAGGCAGCTGCCTTCAGGATCTTCTCCCTGAAGGTGCAGTTCCCTCGCTGCAGCAGCGCCACCCAGTGGACGCTGCGGGGCGGAACCAGGAAACGGGTGTTCGGGTCGCAGCCCTGCCGGTCCACCACTGAGGAGACACCGTTACCATGGTTACTGCCTCCAAGATGGAGGTCCAGAGGTTTTTATTTATCAGGTAGACACATTTAAATGGCCAAACAGCTTGCCATACAGCAGGCAGAGGTAGAGGTGGTATCATGATCTGGGACACTTTAAGAACATAGCAGCAGTCAGACGTCAGAACAAATCAACTCAGAGGAGCCCAGAACACGTCCGGACCGGTTTTGGTGCTGAACTGACGGAATAAAAACATTCCCAGTTTAAACTGCACTGGCTCTGACATCACTTCCTGTCTGTAACAACAACCTGTGTAAAGGAGGAAAATTTCAGCTCCTGACTTAGTTTGCGCGATCAAGCGACCGGCAGGAGGAGCAGGAGGAAGAGGAGGAGCAGGAGGATGAAGAGGAGGAGCAGGAGGATGAAAAGGAGGAGCAGGAGGAGCAGCTCCTTCAGCTCATCTCTGCAGTGTCCTTGGAGCGCCTGACTGTAATCTGACTCCAGAGTAGAGAGACGCTCCGTCCTTCAGCAGCCAGGAAACCTCTGCAGTGTCTCAGCCGGACTCAGAGCCGCTGCATCCTCCGCCTCCCCGATTAAACTCGGCTGCAGCAGCGACTGCGAGAAAAACTCACAGCTGCAGCAGCAGACTACAAGACAGTTGCCATGACAACAGTCAGGTCCAGAGTTTAGTAGAGATTTTCTTCCCGAACGATTCAGATGTCAACGAGGTTAACGAGGTGAAACCAGCTTCCAGTTATTACTCCCTACCTTGAGGACCAGACTAACACCTGGAACTCTGAGGCAGTGTCAGGTAGGCCATGTGACCTGTGACGCGAGTACCTCCATGATGCGGCGCCGGCGTGAGGACGATGCCCCGGGCGTCCATCTTGGGAGAGTCCTGCCCGTACGTCCCGTCCTCGCTGCTCATCATGTGGACGGAGGACCCTCGGTCCATGACGGTGGCGTTCACCGTGGCGTCCTCGATGGAGTTCCTGTCAGCGCGTCCTGCTGCCGCGGAGCGGGCCTGGACCTCGACCTGGACCAGAACCAGCATGAAGACGGCGACGATTGGGAAGCAGGTCCAACGGTGCAGGTCCATGTCTGCCGGTCCGGTTACATGGAACCTGCCAGGAAGGAAAAACCCAAACGTCAGTGGGGCCAGACTAACACCTGGACCGAAAGTTTTATTACGATATTTAATAGTACTGTGATAACGGCTAAAGTCGCGATAAGAACTATTTATTACTTCTTTTTTAGGCAACTGTGTGTCACATAAACACAAATAATGGTTTTGAAAAGATTCCCATTTGTCTCCTTAGGAGGCCAGTCACATGAAGAAGTCGATAACTTTGTTTCCAAACTTATTTATTGATGCTCTTATTGAACAAACAGTGGGAAAAAAAACCAGTAAAACTATTAATCCTGACAGTATATCACAATTCTTATGAAAAGAAATTTATCACAATATATGATAAACGATACAATAAATGTCCAGCCCTGTCAGAGCATGTCCCACTGTGTCCAACTCCGTCTCTGTCCCTGAACACCAAATATTTCAACTTCTCATTTTTAAACATTTTCAGGTCACTGTCCACGTCCAGCTGTCCCTCTTTTTCCTGTCTGTCCACCAACATCTGTCAGGTTGGTCTGATTGGACTCTCTTTAAATCCATCTTACCTTAAAATGTCCCGCCAGATGTTTCCGTCTGTAGGTCTCCTCCTGATGTTCTGTCCTTCTCCCTGGACGTCTTCTAGGTGTTCTCCGTGTCTCTGGTCTCTCCAGGCGTCGCACGGATATTTTTTTGTCTCCTGTCTCCTCCAGATGTTATTTTTTATATCCTCAGCGTCTCCTATTTGTTGGTTTCTGTCCCAGTTTGTCCTCCAGATGCCGCCTGTGGAAGGGCGCAGTAAACCCTGGGTTCAGACTGCGAGGTGAGGCAGCTGTGAGGACATCAGGATCGGTCAGCCTGCGGAACCGAACCGGAACCTAATCTGGACCCTGGTTCCGGAAACTCCTGCACTGACAGCGCCTGGCTGTGTTCCGGACTCCGTCTGGACCCGGTTCTGGTTCTGCAGTGAGCCCACCTCCGTGTCTACGGTGGCTGCTTCGGCCCGGTTCGTCTCTCTCCACTGGACTCCCGGTGCTCCGGGCCGGGCCGGCTTTGCTCCGTCGATGGGGAACCTCTGCTGGATCTGGTGGGTCGGATCGGACTGGCTGTGGGGGTTCTGTTCGGCTCGGCTCCACTAACAGCAGGTCGGTACTTCAGTTCTGACAGCGGCGCACCGCGCAAGCGCAGAACATCAACAGGGGAGCGACAGAGCGCGTGTGTGATTGTGTGATTCACCTTCTCTTGGAGATTTGGAGGAGATGTCGCGATAAAGGGCGCGATGTCAGCCAGCTGTTTGCGTCCTAATCAGATTTCTCATCGATTAGTGATCAGCGATCAGAAAGGGAAGGAGGACACCTGCTGGACACCGACAGGAAGTGCAGCTTAAATTTTATTCAGTTTGTTTATAAAGTTAGAATTAACAACACGTCATTGCACAAAAAGCTTTAATTAATAATCCATTCCAGTCAATAATATTTTATCAATCAGTTCATCATGAATCTGCCACGACCGTCTGGAGGTTCGGCAGAACTGAACCAGGAGAACTTTCTGCGTTAAAGTAAAACAGGTGATGGCAGCGTCATGCCAGCCTCCAGGAAGGAACCACAGCCAATCAGAACGCCAGAGCAGGTGGAGCTTCAATGGAGAACAGAAAACCGCTGCAATCAGAGCAACGGGATCCACAGCTCTTCTGCCTTCCAGCCTCTTTTCAGATTGAACTAAATCTTTACTAATTTTGACAACGCAGAAAATGTTTCTGATGAAGAGTTTGATGCTGATGTAACATAGTTAAATGGTTCAGGTTAAATCCTGCTAAAATACACCATCTGCTGGTAAAAAGTTGTATTTCATTCACCTAGAACGAGCGGGGTATTATGGGTAATCCTCAGAGCCGTGAGGATAACGTGTCTCTGCTATGTGATAAAGAAATATTATTTATGCATTATGTGAAGGGTGTTTGTGGTTTTCGATTTTGCATATTGTTGGGGTGTGTTCGGTCTGGGTCACGCTAGTTCTGTTATTATGTCGTTTTTGTCATGTTTGAGAATGTTTAGTTCGTGGGAAAGTGCAGTGGGAATTTCCTGGTTTCCAGCTGGAACAACTGGAGCTGTTCTGACTCTGGATTGTTCCTCTTTAGGGCCAAAGGTAACGTCAGCTTTCTGGGTCAGGGTTCTGGTTCTGACCCGTCGCTTCAGCATCTCTCTGTTCGTTTCCCTCCATCCTGACTCATCTCCCACTTCCTGGTTCATTAACTGGATCAGAACCGAACCAGTTGGGATTTTCATGTAACCCAAAGAAACATCAGAGCAAAGGAAGCAGAACTGGAACTACCCGGTCCAAGATCTAGGAAGAGACCCGAAGTTCAGACCTCCAGAACCGTCAAGGCAGACAGTTTGCGTGGATGAAAGGGTCAGAACAAAGAATGAGTCAGAATCCCACCTGAGCGACGGACTGGTCCAGATCCTCCACATGGCAGATATCTTGAAGGTTTCATGATGTTCTTCTTGTGGAAGTGCATCCCTGGTTGGTACCGGGTCAGTGTCAACCGAGGAAGGACCGCGTGAGTCTAACTCTGGTTCTGGCTGAGGGCCAGTTCTGAGTCAGGGAGTCCAGCAGAGGTCAGAGGTCAGGGTTAGGGTCAGGTTGGGGCTGTTTGGCTGGTTAAGGTGTAACAGATTAGGGTGGTTAATTTGGTTTAAGGTTAGCTAGGATCAAATGTAGTTATGGTTAAAGTTAGTTAGTGAGGGTGAAGGTTACCCAGTGTTAGTTAATTTGGTTTAGTTAAGAT